TTTAATTAAAACTAATTATAATTAATTATAATTAATTATAATGATTTAATTAAAATTAATTATTAATTAATTATAATAAATATAACTAATTAAAATGATTATAATTAAAACTAATTATAGCTAATTAAGATTAACCATAATTAAACTTAATTAAATCATTAAACCCTCTTCTCCCTCTCTATCTCTCGGGTCGGTGGCTTCACAGGTTTGGCCGAGAAAGCGAGCGAAGGGGAGAAAGTTACCTTCACAGCAAGAGCGAGCTCCCCTTGCGGCTTCCAATAAAAATGTCTCAACTTTCGATCCGGCTGGAAAGGAAAAGTCGTAGAAGGAGCGGTGTCAAACAGCCACAAACGGAGCCGAAGGAGCGACGTCGACCAGCCACTGAGGCGCCTGGAGGAGCAAAGTCGAACGGTCTAGAGGGAGCCAGAGAAACGACGAGCTCCGACTGTTGATCCCGATCAAATTGTCATAACTTCCGGTCCGACAGCAGGGGAACGTCGTCGAAGCAGCGAAGTCGGACCAGCCACGAAGGAGACGAAGAAGAGGCGAGCTTCGTTTCTTGCTTCCGATCAAAGTTCATCACTTCCGATCCAATTGGAAGAGTCGTCAGAGGAGAGGAGTCGCACAGCTACGAGGGTGTCGAAGGAGAGAGTGAAAGTGAGAGACAAGAGCGGGAATGAGAGAAAGAGCTTCGGCCCCGTTGCTTCGTGCCTTTAACTTTAATGAGTCGTGCGGATGATCGTGGGAAGAAAAGACACGGACATGTCAGCGACGTGCTGAATTCGGCGCCGGACAGAGGGCAGGTGAGGTATTTTTTATTTCTTTTTTTTCTTTTTGTTTTAATCAGCACAGGTCAACATGAGTTGCTTAAAGGATAGGATGTTCCATAATGGTAACATCTTTTCTCTAATTTCTTACTAAAAAAAATTATAAATATCTTATTACTAAACATTAATAAAGAATACTATATACCATAGATCGGCTAGAGGGCCAAGAAATGTGCGAGGAAGTGCTTTGTTTTTCTCTGCTAGTGTGGAGGAAAAATCAGAGATGATGAGTGTTGCATCTGTTTGAGCGTGGAGGACAAATTAGAGATGGAGATAAGAAACTCAAACATAGTTGCTTACTATAAACCGCCTCAGTCTACTCGGGATTCCTGAGAGGAGGCAACTCATGTTTGCTAATCTGATTCCATGGACGTTGCAACCAATGGTTCGTTTTAGCGTTGGTAAATTGGGATCCGTGGTATTTCCTGGATGATGAAACCATGAGATCTTGATCGGGTCTACCTCCATCCCCCACAATCGAGACTACTAACCCTAAAATTCCGAAGCTAGCTATGCTAAAGTGACTCATCCTTAATCGAGAGTGCTCTCCTAAGAGTGGGAGGGGTATTTAGCTATAAGGGCTTGTGCTCATAGAAAGTAAGGACCCTAAACTCAAATAAACCCTGATATGAATATTTGGGAAATTTGATTAATTAAAATTCAATCTATCTTAAGAAGAATGGAATCCTAAGCCTAGAAAGTGGGGTTTGCACCGAGAGCCATTTTTATTCAGCGAACAATCTTCTTGATCAAAGAGAAAAATTTTTGAACAGTGTATGTCAAAAGCATCTCTTAAATTAACCTCTTCCAACCTGTATGCTAGCTTAAGTTTTGTTGTGTGAATGAGTCATTATTGCCAAATTAACCCTTGAATTGTCTTCTTCACAATGTATCTGCTCCTCGCATTTCTTTTGGTCATATTAACAAACCACCATTTTGGCCTACAGGTGGCACATTCTAAACTTGCGAGTATGTTGAAATTAGTTACACGAGAAGAAGCATTTTTATTTTTTTTAAAACACAACATTTTCATATCCTTAAATCTTATATGTATTCATTCATTTGATTTTATTGAAATTACTGATTGGCTGTTGTTCCATCTGTTTTGATCATTCTTATTTCTTCTTCTTCAGCTTGTCTTGTTGCTGTTGTTTCGCTTCTGCTCAAAGGGCCTGTTGAATAACTTAATTATTGCTTTCAGGCTGCGTTACATGCTCTTGGAAGCATAGCTGGAGCTGACAGATCTGACAATAGTGTGCTTCTAAATGACGGTGCAGAAGAATGCCTTAAGCGCTTGATTTATGAAGCAGCTACAGAGAGTTCAAAGCTAACACCATCTGTTAGTTTCTTATTCTGAATTTTGTTCTTCATATTGTTTCTAAAAAATTCTGAGGCTGTGTATTGCTACTAAATTCTCTGTATGCATGGCGCTATTGTTTGATTGTGAACGACTTATGATGATTAGTTATATAAAATCATCATAACTTATCAGTTTTACCTTCTGTACTTTCATATATCCATTGACGTAACATATTTTCTCCACAGGGTTTATTCCTCTCAATGCTGCAGCAAGAACCAGAAATGCGATTAGCAGTGAGTATTTGTATAAACTTCTTTTACTTAGTTCCATAAAAATCTCTGTTACTTGTAAATGTCAGGTGTGGACAGTTAAAACAACCCCAGTTAACTTGAGTTCACTTATCATGTCATTCGTCATCTAATGTTAGCTTCATGTTGAGCACAGCAAAAAATTAAAACCTTTATTAGGCAACATCAATAGCTGCTGCATCAACACATACAAGCTAGCAAACATGCTTTGGAGAAAGAAGTGAAATGCTGATTGGACTGAGTTCAGTATTATAGATATTTTTAGATACCTTCTTCATTAGATCTTTTATTAGAAATATTTACGTGTCTTTTCTATCTAGTGCATTAATAAGTGTTTGACTCAAGTCTTACATAATTCTAGTTATGTTATTTCTGATCTACGGCTTTTTCATCCTATCCCATTCACATTAATTTCCTCATTGTATTGGTGTTAAATTTCTTACCCAGTACCTTTCTACTGTGTTAACTCCCACCATTTCTCTAATATGATCAATCCCATACTGCTATGCTTAATTTAATTGTCAATAAATTTTTTGATGTAAACGTTAAGTCAACTATCAATCGAATGATGATGGTGAAGAAAGCGGATATAAAATGTTAAGGATTAAATATTGATCCTTTAATTGATATTTGATGTATCGCTGCAATGATTGGAAACTCTTTTTCATTTTGTTTTTTTGTGAGAGCATCTTTAAGAGCAATATATAAATGCGTTTGAATATTTCCAAGAATGAAAAAACATAAGTTATAACTACTCATTCCTATGCTTGGTTATACATTTTTATTTTATTTTATTTTGTGTTGATGGCAGCTTATACTTGTGTAAAAAATCTACAGGCTTACAGATTGATATCCGCTCTTGTGGCTCGGTCGTGGTGCCTGATGGAGATTTGCTCCAGGCCGGAGATTGCATCTATTGTGATGGATGCAGATATCGAAGACACAAAAATCGGTTTGTTTGTCATAATCTACTTTTTTCCACCTGCATTTCTACTACACGCATGGAGATATTATGTGTATATGCATATTTGCGCTTTTTGTCCGGTTGGTTGTGTGGGGAGAGAGAATCGTGAACATGGAAGATTTAATGGCTTCTCTATGCTACAAAGCTTAGATGCACATTTGATACATTTGAAATAATAATGTTGTGTTACTGCATCTTTTATTATTGTTTGTGTGCTTTTTATTGGTCCCTAGACACTGATAATTTAATGTTAATCCTTCCTAGAGTAACCATCCTGATCCATAAAGTTATAAAGATAAATATAGAAAAATTGTGAGGATAGTGTTAGACTGGTCCATGCGGGCCAGCTCACACGTAACAGAGGCGGAACTTCTCTTTACTGGCCGCTCAAACCGCATATCCAAAAGCTCTGATTAGGAAGGATTTAGGAGTTTGGGAGGGAAATTTGAATGTATTGACTGTTTAGAGATTTCCTTTTGGATTGTAAGCATTAAATAGTTTGTTTTCCTAGGGTTAGTGCATCTTGAATTTGGCTGAAATTTGAGATCTCTCTTAGGTTTTAAGCTCTAGCAGAGTCTAGAGAATTGGGATAGATAGATCCTCCTCTCTTATAGAGTATCAATTGTATCTTGTTATTTTCCGTTTACATTTCATCAAATAATACAAATTATCTACTTGGTTTCTAGTTATGTGTGAATTTTTGTGGAGAATTTTCGCTGTTTTCCAAGGATTGATAAGAGTTCCTTGAGATCTACAAGTGTTTCCTATCAGGTGGTTGAATAACTTGGTTCTATAGTTACGATGTCTCAAAGTCCTAGGCATTATTACATATGTAGAGGAATATATTGTTTCAGCTGCTTATGGCTTTTAAATTGCATTACAACTTGATTTTCTTTAGCTGTATCCACTCTTTTCTTAGTTGAAGATGTTAATTTACAGGCATGGAAGCTCGGCATCAATGTTGTGCAGCTATCTATGACGCTCTGTCTGCTTTAAATATGGCTGCTGATGCCAAAGTTGCTAAACTAGCAGAAAAGGTAAGCTGCTCCTTTGTAGGATTTAGTGGTTTTCAACTAAGCAATCATCACAAGAAGTGTTTGTTCAACATTTCACTGCACTCCAGGTTATAGTCCTGAATAAATATTTTGTTGTGTTTTCGACTTCTCTTAATGTTCAACACAAATGATTAGATGAATTTGTAATATTTCAACTGCATCGATTCAGATAAAACATTACAGGCCTTGCAATCTTGTTTGATAGTATTTATTCGACTACCACAAATTGGATTAATTATTCTGTGCGGAAGCCGAATGCCATCCGGAGATCAAACAAAATGCGTCATGTCATTCCTACGCTGCGTACCGCGGCTTGGTATTGCTCGGCACCGCTCGGTACTGCCGACGTGGCTGCATATGATTCGCCTCCGGACGTAGAGCTGCGTCTGGCTTCCGCACAGAATAATTTCTCTACAAATTAACCTTTTTATGTCAAGCCTTTGTTAGGCCTATTTAGCAGTGTTTGTTTCAATTTCCCTGATATATAAAGGTTAAAAAGGTGAGTATCCTTATTTTTTGAACAAATAGTTTCGGGTGATTCCAACCACAATTTGGTCAGCAATGTTATTAGATTAATTTCGATATAAATTTTGATTAATTACTCTATTATTGTATTTATTTCAAAACAAATAAAAAATTTTTAAGATTCTTTCTTAATCAATTTTTTTGTCAGCCATTCCAAGCTTTCTTTGATGCTAACTCCTAAAATGGCAATGGGTATTTTTGATGAGCTGAGCTCTGGTTTGTTGAACTGATATTCAACATAGATGACATGCTTAAGGCAATAGCTTAAACGATTAATTATTCTTGGTTTTTCAGTTGCAGGAGGCAGTTAAAAGAGGTCCATACTTGACCAAAAAGCGCATTGAAGCACAACCAATTGTGATAACGGCCGAAAGGTTCTGATTGGAAATAAACCAAAAAAAAAAAAGAATTTTCATTGTAAAAACTTAAGATCATAGAGATTTCCATTATATCTGGATTGACATCAGTGGAAATTTGTTGGTCCTTGAAGACTATCCATCACTTCAGAGGTATGATTTTCATCATATATGTTATGCATTTCATTGTTCCTGATTGTACATGTTAGAAATGTTCTTGTTTTGTTCATATCAAACTTTTTTTTTTGGGACTACTTACTCTTTTCTTACCCTTCTAAGCCCCGTTGGAATCAGTTTAGTGAGATTTCTCTGCATTTGTTCAATGGTGACAAACTTAGGCTTCACTCATTTTTCAAAACAGTAAGAAAATTATCTCAAATGAAATCTTAGCTGCTATGAGAGCCATTGATGTGATAAATTATTCTATGAGGTCACCGAACGGTTCAGAGGCGAATCAGAACGTGTCATATCACCTGGTACCGAGCGGTACACAGCAAAAAAATGATGTGATGCATTCTCATTCGTTTCTGAACGCAGTGACTGCATGGGATAATTTTTCCATTGATGCAGATCTTACAAGTGGGTAGAGCCCAACTTCTTACATGTTTTATTGGGCTGACCTAAATGAGTAATGGACTTGGATGGGTTAGCCTTAATGGGTTAAGTGTTGTCATAATTTGGCCCTCCTAAAAATAAAAATTAAAAATTAAAATGAAAATTATAGGAGAGTAAATTTTTTGTTGCCCTTCTAAAAAAATCACTTTTACCCCCCCTAAAAAATCGGTCTTAATTTGCTCAATATTCTTTCCAAACACCCCTTTTAAAAAGCTTTTTTGTATTAATCCTAATAATGACAAGTTTTAATCTACCGCTAATTATAAATACATACATTAAAATATCTGTTATTTTTCACATTTAGTTCTAATATTTTATTTCATACTTTTACAACAATTTTATTATACAATTTTTCTTCTTCTTTTTTCTTGCTTAACTTTTTTTAAACAACTTTTTGTAATATATTTATATTATTTTTAATATTTAATTATTTTTTTATTGAATTTGCCCCCTAAAAATTGAAGCTGGTTCCGCCCTGCCCCTCTTTATGCTTGTTGTGGATCATTTTTAAATGAAATGAAGATAATATAATCTGAACTAACAACTTGTATGATTTTTCAAGGAAAAAAAATATGATTGTCATTGAAAGTTTTGTTATTCATCTCTGTTGTTCAGCATTTTTTCTAAAAAAGAACAAACAAAACGTAAATTTGAACTTGTCACAACTAAATGGAGGATGGTTTTGAATGATATGAATGATGAAAGTGAAATGGGCAGGATCTTGCTGTCGTCCTAAAGAGCTTTATGTGGTGTTGCTGTAAATGCAAATAGCTGAATTGTAGTATAAATATATAAGATTTGGATATTATATATGAAATTTTTACTCTCTTTTTTTTGCATTCAATTGATTTTGAAATGATTTTAAAAGATTTATGATTTTGTTTTTCAAATTGCAATTATAATTTTTATTTTATTTTTCAAACTGTAATCATAATTTTTATTTGATATCTATCTTTTTGCAATTTTTTTTTTAAAATTGTATTAGGAAATTGTTTTTTATGGAAGTTTTAAAATAATATATTTCTTACAATAGTTTTAAATTGGGGAATAATAGTAATTCTATTTGTGTGTGTGGAGATAGAGAGATGTATGTTGAAAGAAATTGATAAATAGATTAATTTAAATGAAATGAGAGATGTTTTTTATTTGTTTTCAGCAAATTTAATCAATGTTATATAGTTATTAAAATCAAATTTCTTATCTTATTGACCAAAATAAATCATTTTTACAATAGAAATTATAATTGTGCGGAAACAAACTTTTTTCATGGAATAATGCGCTATGAGAAGCCTATTAACTTTCAATTTAAATCTGCGTAATCATATAACTTAAAATCAACTTTATTTATTTATTTATTACAGCAATCCTAATTTTTATATGAAAGATAGATAAAATGTAAAATTGCTTATGAGCTTAAGAAAAAACTTATTATAATTTAAGATTAATTCAAAATGATCATATCATTATCTAAAATAGAGACAATAAATGATTAAAATTCAAAGAAACAAAAAATATAAATCTATAGAAGAAACTTTTTGTAATTAATGTGCACTTAAAAATGTTTGCAAAGTTTAAAATAAATATTAAATCTTAATTACATCAAATTAAACAATTGAAATTTAAAAAATCCTTATTGTAAATTCCATTTGTAACCAAAGAAGAATGCTCATATAGCAAGAAGTTAGGATTTAGGGCAATTATTAAAGTTAAGAAGTTCAATTCATATTATTTAAATCACTAACGTAAGTGGGACCTTTATAATAATCAGAAAGATTGATATACATTAAGATTTTGTTTGAAATAATTTTTTTATTATTTCACTTTTCAGGTTGTAATCATAATTTTAATTTGATTATTGATTTTTCTTTACTTTAAGAGAAATTTGTGTAATAGAATGATTTTTTAAGCAGCTTTCAAAAAAAGTTAATTTGACATGTCTAGTGGTGTGAAAATAGACTGATGGTTTGGGTCCAACCTTGAATTAAGTCGAACCAAATCTAGTCAGCCCGAATTTGATATGTTTAAGAAACGAGACAAATTCTATTCTGAACACTCGCTTTGGGTTTGAAGAAAAATTAGAACTTAAAAAAAGGCTTTTTTCTAACTTAGTAATAATAATGTTCAAGATATTTGATAAAAAAATAAGACTATTTTGCCTACTAGTAAAAAAGTTTAAGCAAAAAGATATTAAACAAATCTTTTTTGAGATTGACAAGTCAAGTTAAATCAGATCTGTTTAAAAATAGGTTGGAAAATCCTAACCGATTTATTAAATTTGTCAACCTGAAACCAAATTTTTCGGCTGGGTTTCACCAATTGAGTCATTTATTGACAACTCTGTCCACTATCACACTCGTAGATTTATTTTTACATAAATAATTTTGTAACATCCACATAAATTCTAGACTAAGAAGCATAATATTCAACTACCAAAAAATATTATCAACCAATTACCAAAAGTATATATATATATATAATATGTTTAAAATTTTCTTAATTATTTTAAATTTATTTGTAATTTGTAATTATTCTTCTTCGAAATAGTAAAAATTTGAATGGTATATTTGTATTAGAATATAAAGGTGTTTAATAATTCTTATTAATTCTTCTACTATTACATTTTAATCTTTAAATTTCGAAAAACAAATCATTAATTATTTTCTCTGCCTCTTTTGACAGGGATCAAATGCAAATGCACTTCAAAATAAATAAAAATCTCATTAAATATACAATTAAATAATTCAAATAATCATTAAATATATAATTAACTAAAAATTTTATTTTTTATTTTTATTTTAGGGGCAAAGCCCATTAAAAAAAATTATCTTTTTCCAAAAAAAAAAATAATAATAATAATCTTATTAGTTCATTGTTGATACTGTTACTTACTATTTACACACATGTCAATAATACATATTGTACTGTCAATATTTGCTCTTCTTCCAAAGAAACATTTTCCTCTTCTTGTGTTCTCCTTCTAATCTCTCTCTCTCTCTCTCTCGCACACTTGATTGGAGCAGAAAACTGTAAACCCTAGCTATACCCCCTTTCACATTCCACCACCCTGTGCTGCGTCGCTGATGCCGAGCTCCTCTCCTGGCTCCGCTTCCCTTTATGTGCTATAGCTTGAGGCATCTGTCTGTAACACTGCCGCATTCTTCTTCTCCTCCGCACCACCGCTGAGGTTAGGGTTGTCATTAGCAAGCTGTCCTCCCAAGTCTCCGCCTTGCTTCGTTACTTGAAATCACGATAGGAAAAAGATATATTGATTGCGTTTTACCATAGATGAAATGGTGGTGTGGTTTTCTCTTTCTTTTCAGTAGACATTTTTGTCCCTTTTTTTTTCTTTTGTACGAGGGCGGGGTAGCGTTGAGGAGCGAAAGCTCCGAACCTCTCAGCCACGCCTATGTTAATTTTGACATATTGTCCCTTTCCCAGCAGGGCTCATTTATGTCGTAATGTCTGTTTGTGGAGAAGACAGGACGGACTGACTACCCATATTTTCAAGTCCCTGTCTTTTGAAGTCTGAACATATTTAAAAAGGCTAACCATGCAATACTTGGCGGGCTTTGAGGAGATACTTTCTGTTGTATTTAGCGTTTATAATGATATACTGAGCCTTGAGGAGGCTTATTGTACATAATTTTGTTGCTCTCCAGCTACCCCATTCATGCTTCGGTTGGATAAGGCCTAAGTGAAAGTATAGGCTACTCAAAAAAACTTGTACTGTTCATAGTGCTCTAATTTGAGTTATCTAGCAACTTGGTTTGTGTGAATGCATAATTGATTCTTTGTTTTTTCTTTTTTTTTTCTTTAATTTTTCGTATAAGTATGTTTCAAAATTTCAGGGTTAAAATGAGATAGCTTGACAGATGAAGTGCAAATGCTTTTCAGTTACTAGAGTATTTATTTCTTCTACTCTCTCAAGTGCCACTTACTAGGAGTTATTTTGTAGAATTTTCAATAAGTGAAATCCAAAGAATTGAGTTTTTCCATAAGCTTTTTAGTCTTTAAAACCTTTGTATTTCTTTATTTATTCTTGTATCACATGAGACTTGTGTCTTCTTCCAACCTGAATTTTCAATCTCCAAAGTGCATCATGATGCATTTTCTCTGGTAAACTTGTGGTATAAATGTTGTTGAGGTTTCCAAATGTAATGCATCCACTATCTGGCATTTGAAAGTTATGACTTTTTTATTGTAGATTGGTTGCAAGTCACATGAAAATATCATTATGGAATATGTTTTCTTTTTCCTAATTCATGTGATGACTGATGATATCTTGGTGTGCTATGTTAAAATATTTTGAATTTATATACAATAGATAGGGATATAAATAATATAACATTTCTAGAGTTAAGCTTTGATGGTTAAAATAGATAAATGCCTCAAAAGTTTTATATGATAAAAGGATATAATGGAAATTTACTGCTAAATTAAATAAAATTGTAATTAGGCCAGATATGTTGTTTGTATTTGAGCGCATTGGATAATTAAAAGGTTGTTGAATGCTATGTTGAGCATGGTGGAAATGGGATTATCGAGATGATTGTATGACAAAATTTGAAAGGATAAATTAATGAATGATTCTATTTGATGGACAGTTGGACTAACATCTATTAAAATATGATAATTAAAAATAAGCAGTTCAGACATATATAGGAATGGTAGTATTTCACCATTAGACCAGTAGATAGTATTAGTGTCCTAGGATTACATACGAAAATGATGGAATTGATTTTTACATGGATAGAAGTTCAAAAAGTTATGTTTACACATCTTGTTCACTTAGAATGAATAGATGGAAAATGAGAATTCATAAAGCCAACCCAGAGTGTAAGGATAAGGTTAATGATGACTATTTTGTTAAAGGTGTAATCAGGAGTAGTTAAATGTTCTATATAAGCACTTTTTTAATTTTAGTTGACTGATAACAAAATGAAGAAAATTCAGGAGTAGTTAAATGTTCTATTTCCACCGTTCCATCAAGTTCTTGTGGAATTTAATTTTGGTTTATAATTATGACTTTTGATTTTGGAAGTCCATAGTATGTTTTTTCATATTGGTTGTTGCATATAGCCGACAATCACATAATTCTTTGTGAGGAGAAAATTCAGAGTCACAATAAAGATCTTATAATTTTTTGTTCTCATTTTTTATTAGGGTTTAGTATAGAATTGTGAATGAAAAACTGCACTTGGCGTTAAGAAAACTGCACCTGCATGTAAATGATGAAGAAAATTGTATTTGCTTTTTTTCTTTTAATTCACCATCAGTTAATTAGTTTTGGCAGAAACCCTATTGCTTCAGTGGTTGTTTCTATTCAAATTATTGCATCAATGTTGCCTTAATCGAAAGTTCTCTCTCATTATTTGGGATCACTTTTTATTTTTGTTTATGTTTTTTTTTGTACTGTTTTGTTTATGTTTTAATATGAAATAAAAATATGCTTGGTTTCTTAAATAAGTGTTGTTTGATTTTATTTGATATTGCATAAAACATAGATGATGGACAGTGATGGTGTCCCACAGCGGCGGTAATTGATGGCCGGGTTGTGTTTCATTTAAAAAAAAATGAAAACATAAAAAAAAATAGCTTGATTTGTTTAAAAAAATGTAAAAAAGAAAAAAAATCAAACATATTTTTTAAAACAAAAATAAAAGTGATCCCAAGCAACCCATTAGTGTCATCAAGCTTTGAAAAATTAGAGTTTTCATTTCTAGGATAAGATATTATTATTATTATTATTATTATTAGGTCATTTCCTATGCAGGAACTATAAAATTTACCTGGAAAGAGATGGAAACTGACCATTTGGTAGCTTTACCAAGTGGTATTAATGAAGAAAAGATTAGCCAAAGGAATCAACTGTACTCATTAGGCGAAAATGGCGGAGCCATGGCACCATCTCCTTGTGGCAGTATTCTGAGGCTAAGCAATGCTTGCACGCAAGAAGATGGCAACTTCCTGGCTTCTGAAAAGTGCTTTCTTATGACTGCTGAACTTTGATTAAATTATTTCTAGTAATTTTTTATGTTCCAACATCTGTTTACCTTGAGCAGTGCAGATAAAATTAAGAAGAAGGTATCAAGAATTATAGGATGGGGATTAAGACGTTTCAGTAAGATAGGTCGGGCTATATTAGAAAGTTATGCGTTTGAACATATTTAATATGGATATTTTCTCAATAGTTATAACTCATATTGTTGTGTTTTAGTTTGTCAGAAGGTGCAATCAAAGGGAAGAACAACCTACAATGAGGTATTCTATCAGTGCTGATTCCTACTTTCTTTGTCTGTGCTTGTGATATTTATAGTGTATCTGAAGTTAAATTAAAGTTTTATATTGTAATCAATTTTTAGTTTATTTGTCGTATTATTCGAATACTTGATTGTTTTCTTTAGTATAAAAGGCATAAAAAAGTGAAATTCAAAATCTTATAACTTGTAAGTGTTTTTTTGAGTGGCTGAGTGGCTTTACCCTCAGAGATGGTATATGAAATGAGCATATATGTGAAAAGGTTGGAGTAGCTCCAATGGAAGAGAAGATTAAAGAGAGTCGCCTTAGATGATTTGGTCACATAAAATGGCGGCCTTCCGATGACCCGCTTAGGAAAGTAGAGGTATTAGATATGATTTATGTTAATAAAGGTAGCGGTAGAACTAAAAAGACTTGGTTAGAAAATATTAGAAATGATCTTTCTTTATCAGACGTAAATGAGAATTTGATTGGTGATTTGAAATGCATGTCAGATCTATTTCAGCTAATTTGATCTGAATGACATCCATTAATTCTTGTTATTAAAATTCACAAAATTAAGATTTTTTCTTTCTGAAAATAATTTGATTTGAAATTAATTTGCTTTATGCAGTAAGTTTATTCTGTATTTCCGTCCAGGTTGCAGATGAGATCATTGCTGATTTGGCTACACTGAACAAGAGCAGCGAATTTGAAGTTCGACTCAACCAAAATTTTTTTTTTTCAGAAACTTTATTTAATAAAATTTTGTTGTTCCTTTTCATTTATTTGAATAAGATAAGATTTGAGACACTAACATTGAAGTACTTTTCATGCTTGTTTAGTTTGATGAGAAAAATATTCGGAGGAGGGTTTATGATGCATTTAATGTTCTCCTGGCAATTAATGTTATTGCAAAAGACAAGAAGGAAATACATTGGATTGGTTTTCCTAATACAAGCACCAAAGCATTAGAAGATTTGAAGGTTTACCATCTTCTAAGCTTTGCAGTAACTTATCACATGATAATCATAAATGAGTATTATAAGAGTTATGATCTTTTGTTTTTTTGTAATGTTTATCTAATAGAGAAGGCACATGAATGTAACAAATAGAATTCATGAAAAAGCAAATTATTTGAGAGAATTAGAGGCAAAGGTAAGCTTATTTTGGTCCACAATTGCATAGTTTTTATTCACTGTTTATAAACATAGCTATCATATTAAGATATATGACACTCATCTGTATATGCTGATATCTTTTTGCTTTTGGTGCTTTGAAGGCTTTTGACATCCGAAAGCTTATCGTTAGGAACCAGCATATGCATTGTTCAGGGAATGCTTCTTCTGAAGGTGTTGCTCTACCATTTCTGTTGGTTCAAGTATGTTTTCTTTCCTCAAAGGCAACGTGGCATGCTTGCTGTCACGACTGTAGGAATGGCAGTTGCATTTCTAGAGTGGCTGCAATCAGCTAACCTACCAATCAATATGTGCAATGCCCTTTATATGTTTCTTTTTCTTCTTTCTATTAGAAATTTACTGTTTGCTTCTTTCTGCATATTGGCCAAGAATCACAGAATGAAATTTGCTTTATTAATATTAACGGCATCTGGTTTATGAATTATGATGGGATGTATATTGTCCTTTTTAATAGAGAATTTATTGTCAAATTTCCTCTTTATGTTCTGCTTTTGCCTTGGCCTGCTAATTCAATCCAGTAACCTTCTACAACTTCCTGAACAAACAGACTAATCCAAAGGCCACTGTTGAAATTGAGATTTCCCAAGATATGCAGTTGGTTCATTTCGACTTTAATGGGTGATAATTATTTATTCTCATTTACCTACTGTTTTTGGTAATTATTTACAGCTTTCTCAACAGATTTTTTCAATTACTCCTTTGTTTTGTTCTTCCTCTTCACCAGATCTCCATTCTCTCTACATGATGAAGCTGCCATTCTGAAAATGATGAGATGTCCCCAATCAGCTGCAAAGAATCAGTTTTCTTGCAGTCCTGCTCGTGCTTTGAACAGCATCAGAGATGAAAATGGGAAGCCAATGAAGCCAGCTTCTTTCTCTTGGAACTCTGAAAGCTTGACCCTATAATTGGAAATTTTATTTTGTGCGGATGCCGTCAGGGTCCGGAGATCAATCAGAATGCGTCATGTCTTTTTTTTTTGCTCGGTACCGTTGCTCGATACTGCTCGGTATCGGGTGACATGGCGCGTTCTGGTTGGTCTCCAAACTGTCTGATATCCGCACATAATAATTCCTCCTATAATTGCTATCAAGCATGGAGATGTATTTTGTTGTGATCTTCATATTTACTTAGTCGCTTGAAGGTTTATGACTTGGCGACTTTGTTTTTTGATTTCTTTGTAATTATGCCAAGGCTTGTCAATGTAGACTTAACATAATGTAGAACAGTAATTGTAATCTTAACGACTGTTGGAATGGCAGTTGCATTTCTAGAGTGGCTGCAATCAGCTAACCTACTAATCAATATGTGCAATGTCCTTTATATGTTTCGTTTTCTTCTTTCTATTAGAAATTTACTGTTAGCTTCTTACTGCATATTGGCCAAGAATCACAGAATGAAATTTACTTTTTTAATAAAAACGTCATCTGGTTTATGAATTATGATGGGATGTATATTGTCCTTTTTAATAGAGAATTTATCATCAAATTTTCTCTTTATGTTCTGCTTTTGCCTTGGCCTGCTAATTCAGTCTAGTAACCTTCTACAACTTCCTGAGCAAACAGACTAATCCAAAGGCCACTGTTGAAATTGAGATTTCCCAAGATATGCAGTTGGTTCATTTCGACTTTAATGGGTGATTATTATTTATTCCCATTTACCTACTGTTTTTGGTAATTATTTACAGCTTTCTCAACAGATTTTTTCAATTGCTCCTTTGTTTTGTTCTTCCTCTTCACCAGATCTCCATTCTCTCTACATGATGAAGCTGCCATTCTGAAAATGATGAGATGTCCCCAATCAGCTGCAAAGAATCAGTTTTCTTGCAGTCCTGCTCGTGCTTTGAACAGCATCAGAGATGAAAATGGGAAGCCAATGAAGCCAGCTTCTTTCTCTTGGAACTCTGAAAGCTTGACCCTATAATTGGAAATTTTATTTTGTGCGGATGCCGTCAGGGTCCGGAGATCAATCAGAATGCGTCATGTCTTTTTTTTTTGCTCGGTACCGTTGCTCGATACTGCTCGGTATCGGGTGACATGGCGCGTTCTGGTTGGTCTCCAAACTGTCTGATATCCGCACATAATAATTCCTCCTATAATTGCTATCAAGCATGGAGATGTATTTTGTTGTGATCTTCATATTTACTTAGTCGCTTGAAGGTTTATGACTTGGCGACTTTGTTTTTTGATTTCTTTGTAATTATGCCAAGGCTTGTCAATGTAGACTTAACATAATGTATATTATATGTACAACTCAATGTGTAGAATGTTTTGTATGCATTTAAATAGTGGCGAGGAAATTTAAAGATGTTCAGCTGTTTTTTTTTTTTTTCTGATTATAAATCCCAATATTTTGTTTGGAATTAACAAATTCCAAAGGCTCTTACTGATTTTGGCTATGTAAAAGCTTTGCACATTCAGGAGGTGAAATCTAATAAGAACACCAAGAGTGAAAAGAATGAAAATAGAAAGAAAATTCATTAATTAAAAATAGAAAAAATTTTAAATTGATGACAAAAATATGTTAATATGTTTTAATATATTTTTTATTAGAATGCTTATTCAAAGTTTTAAATTTATTTTCAGATTGGTGTTATAAATAAAAGAATTTATATTATATTTATCTCTAATTTAATTTAATTTAATAATTTTTAAAATATTCTGCTTTTTTTCATGTCCTGTTAATATATATTTTATTTTAATTTAATTATGAAAAATATAATTTTAATGATATAGTAGCACAATTAGCTTTTTGATATTTAAAATATATATATATATATGGCATTTAAAAATGCAATAAAATATCAAAACTTTTTTAATAAAATAATTCGCAAAATATCAAATACCTTTGATAGTTGAATATATATATAGATTAAATTTGCATGGCTTGTTTTCTTCTTAGGGTAGAGCTTTATAATTTAACGATTAATCAATGCATGCAAGTGATCCTTTGGCTACATAGAGAATTTAGGCAACTATAAAAATAATTACATGGCATCCAACCCAAAAATATCCTCTAGTGATTATATTAAATCATTAATCATAATCAAACACTTACAGATTATGGAAGTTGAGATTGATTTAGCAATCCAAAATTAACTTATATCCCAACTCCCAACGTTGAGAAACATAACAGGAAATTTAGAAACAATGAATATTTGATATCGATAAAGCTTATTCTAATCCACAATACCTAGATTTCAGGTGTTACCATGAATAATGTTCTAACTTTGAAGTTTAGTGAAAAGATGAAGCGCCTATTTGAAATAGCTGCAGCTTTTTATAAAGTTGATTATGAACTTATTGAGTGTAAAACAACTTAGGCTTCGTTTGGGATAACTTTCTTACTGCATTCTAAAGCAGTTTTTTCATATAAAAATTTATAATTCAAAACATTTTTTTGTACCAAAGAGTTGATGTATAAAGCAGTAAAAAAATTGTCCCAAACGAAACTTTGGATACTCTTGTTGTAAAAAGCAAGTTCCCACCATAAAAAGTTTTTAAAAAGAGTGAGAAAAAAGCAAAAAAGCAATAGTCAAATAAAGTTATAATTGTCTGAAAAAATAATAACAAAATAACGAAAAAGTTGTACCAAGCAGACCCAAAATTAGTATCAAACATTTAAGTCACTTTCCATTCAATCATACAACAGCAGGGGGTGTCAACTTCAGGTCACGGGTCGGTTTCGGGTCGAACCCGAAACTGACCCGGCACTATTCGGGTCAACCCGAACCCGACCCATTTTTGAAAACGGGTCAATTTTCCTGACCCGAACCCGACCCACTTCGAGTCCGAGTCAACCCGACACGACCCGAATGATCCGTTTCCAACGAAAAATTGCTAATTTTCGGGTAAAAAAACGGGTCTATCTCCTCTTTTTCGGGTAAAAAATGGGTCTATCTCCTCTTTTTCGGGTCAGTCTCAGGTTGCTGGGTCAAAATCGAGTCAATTTCGGGTCAAAGGGTTAACCCGACACGATTTTTGAAACGAGTCGAAATGTTGAACCCGAACCCGACCCATTTCAGGTTCGGGTTGACCCTAACCTAAAATTTTCGGGTCGGGTCGAGTCAGGTTTTCGGGTCGTGTCAAATATTGACACCCCTACAACAGCGGTACCAAGAAAGCCAATAATCATTTCCAATAGGAATATGACAATAAATTTTTTCAGGAAAGAAAATCACTACACTCAAATTAACTAAGATATCAACTTAGCTAGGTGCACATTTAAACTCATACAGAAGAGATAATTTATAAATAAACACAAAGATTAACAATGCCAAAGTAATGTTCGTAGCATTCAAGCAGTAACAGCAGGAATGTACCAACCATGGTGGATTTCAACGGTCTTCTTCCTCCTTGCAAGGCGTGACTTCCTGTGTGCTCCAGTGTTCTTATGCAAAGTGCCTGATTTTACTGCTTTGTCAATTGCTGAATAAGCCTTCGCAATCAGTTCTTCAACTGAACGGATTTCCTCAGCTTTGGCATCTGTCTTCTTTTTTAGAAGATCAAGCTCTTCGAAGGCCTACATTGGATGTATAAATAATCAGCAGGATAGTATAGATAGGAAAGAAACATTTTATAAACTAGAAGAATATATATGAAACTAGTAAGAGCTGCCATCAATTACAATTAACCGTTATATAATCTTGTGTTTCATTATCGCATTATATGCAATTTAGTACAAGCAACTAAGATTCCTAAGGAAATTATAGGAAAATGAAAGAGTATAGAACATTCGATGCAATAAAAAAATTAAAAAAAAAACTCACTATACGTCTTAAGAAGGACCACATGGTAGTACCAGGCTAAAAAGATACAGAAGTTTGAGGCTCTGAGCTATAACTGAAGGTTCTAATCTAATTGGGCATAAGAAGAAGATTATTATATGATTAAAATGTCTTTCAGGCATAATAAAGACAGGCAAATAGATTTGAGAAGAATCTACTTGATGATGATCGAGATGGCAGTTTTTCCTTGATGCTCAAGAATTAGCCTTTGAGCTAAATAACTAACGATAAAAAATGATGCAGACAATTGGAAAGATTTTGTTTTAATGCAAAGAAACAAATAAAAAGCTCATGATAAAGTGACAAAAGAAGAGGATTGCTATTCAGATGACCGTAGAGAAAACAAAAAAAGGTGTTTTTTTTTCAAAACTAACCGGCAAATTGTACAAGCTAACCTCACAAAGAGGATCGTTTGTAAAGTCGAAAGTACAACCTTTGAAGATCTGTGGAGTAGGTCATGCTTGATTTGGTACAATTACACTGTTATTGTGTTTATATTTTCTTGTATAAAATAAAATTATAATACTCATACAAAGAAGGGTGCTCCATAAGTTGGCCTTTTTGTTAATAAAGTCATAAGAGGTGCATGTGCCAAAATGATGATTTTCTAGACATATAACTCAAAATTATCTCTTTATAAGTTAAGCAGCAGAAAAACAAAACCAAATAAATCTCAATAACTAAAGAAAGAAGAAGATAAGATATATAAAATAGAGAAAATGAGAGAAACTTAGAAAAGAAGTCTAAATATCATGATCACCATAAATGTAGTAAGAAAAAAGACAATAAGGCCATAATTAGAGTTTAAAATAATATTTTTAAAAAATTATAAGGTGAGGGATTTTAAGATAATTTTAAATAGAAGAAAATAATCATGAAGTGTAAATTGCAAAGTAAAACAGTGGTGTTGAGGTGACTTGATGAGGTCATCGATAGGAGATTTCGGCGCGTCTATCAGAGACGACCACGGAGATCGACGACCATGATTGCTAGCCTTTATTTTTGATTTTACTTGTACCATCAGTTTTCATATTATGCTTTTATTTTCGTAGTTTCCCATTTTACCCCTGAGGGTAGTAGTTGCTTTTGTAGCCCCAAGGGGCATTTTAGACTTTTGCACTTTATTTTCTTTGGAGCCTATTTATATGGCCATTGATACAAAGAAGGGTGCTCCATAAGTTGGCCTTTTTGTTAATAAAGTCATAAGAGGTGCATGTGCCAAAATGATGATTTTCTAGACATATAACTCAAAATTATCTCTTTATAAGTTAAGCAGCAGAAAAACAAAACCAAATAAATCTCAATAACTAAAGAAAGAAGAAGATAAGATATATAAAATAGAGAATATGAGAGAAACTTAGAAAAGAAGTCTAAATATCATGATCAACTTAAATGTAGTAAGAAAAAAGGCAATCAGGCCATAATTCGAGTTTAAAGTAAAATTTTTAATAAATTATAAGATGAGGGCTTTTAAGAAAAATTTAAATAGAAGAAAATAATCATGAAGTGTAAATTGCAAAGTAAAACAATGGAGTTGAGGTGAATAACTTTGAAAAAAAAAACAACCAACCAACTATACCACACTCATTTAGTTTTATCTGGTCTAATAGTTCTTTTCATGATTTTCTTCCATTATTTTATAGGATAAAATTTATTCTATGAAAAAATAAATTCTTGAATTTTTAAGAGATGTTAATTATAGAGTATGGCATGTTACTTATTATAGTTTCATATCTAGTATTAGTGAAAATGAATTAAATGATTTAACTATCATAAAAATTTCATATTTCCACCAAGTTTTATCTACGGATGAATTACTTATTTCTATACATAAAATTGGTGGAGAAATATTAGATGCTCTCATTAGAATATCCAAAAGCTTAAGAACGCAATTATTGTTAAACCAAATCACTTTATACTTTTACAGGTTATTATTATTTCTAACCTGCACTTGCTGCCACCGGTAAGTTGGTCTGCCATGATGTCTGGCAAGGTGGTTAGAGCAGCTCCTTTAATCATTTAGCATACTATTATAAAAGATGTATCACTGTAGCATCTTTCAGTTAAGGGAAATACGACATTTGTTCCCAATGTCTTTCTTCTTCCTGCTTCCATTCTCTTCTATGGTTTTGCTTTACAGGTCCTGAAGCTCGGTGCTCTTTCATGGTATCAGAGCAGGTTATTCCCTAACGCTTTCGCTCGCCATCCAAAGCTAACTTCATGGCCAATACCGAAGCATCATCCACGGCAGCTGAGCCGATGACGCCCACCACCGCTCCCCCTGCTCCCACCACCGTCCCGGTTGTCCCACCACAGCTAAAATTCCTTATGTCGAATATCAAGTTTGTACTCAATGTACAGCTTGTTGCCTCAAATTATCCCATTTGGCAATCCCAGGTTTTAAAAATATTTGGCGCAAATGGCTATACTGGATACCTCGACGGTTCTATACGTCTGCCTCCCAAACATCTTTCGGCAGATTCCTTCTCAGTGAACCCCGAATATCTCTCCTGGCATTTAGTAGATCAAAAGTTGGTTGCTGCTTTGTTTTGCTCCATTTCTCGGTCGTTACTGCCGTATGTGCTCAATTTCTCAACCTGCACTGACATTTGGCATACGCTGGAACATCGCCTACAAGCCTCTACACGCTCGCGTCTACTCCATCTCAAAAACGAGCTACATCATCTCAAAATACAAGATAAAACTATGTTTCAGTATCTGTCTGACATCAAACAACGTGTGGATGTTATCGCCTCTGCTGGAGCGCCCATTGAGACTGAAGATGTCATCTTCTACACTCTCAATGGACTACCTCAATCATATAATGCCTTTAAAACGGCTATCCGAACCAGAGCTCAACCCATCGGCTTGGATGAACTTTATGCACTTCTCTGCAATGAAGAGGTTAACATCTCTTCCAGAACAAGCCAGCCTGCATTCTCCAGATACATAACTTGCGCTCGCTGCTTTTCGCGGTCGTCCTCGTGGTACCTCACGCGGGCGATCCTCTACACCTCGAGGAGGACACACCTCTGCCCGGGGCACTGGCCGTCGACAAATGCCCTCAGTAGTATGTCAAATTTGTGCAAAGCAGGTAACTCCGCTGTCTCGTGCTGGTACTGCGCAGATTTCTCCAAAACAGTCGCCACGAGCGCTTATTGCTCAGGAGGACAAATCGGCTTCTAGCGAATAATTCTTAGATACGGGTGCCACCTCTCACCTCATAGTCGACGCAAATCAGCTACAAACCGTTCAGGCATACACCGGTACATCCAATGTTCAAGTTGGAGATGGTTCCCAACTGCCTATTGCGAATTCTGGAAAAGGCATTCTTCCAACTCCTGGTCATAAGTTACAGCTCCCACATATACTCCATGTTCCCAAACTAACACATAATCTCATCTCTGTTTCTCGTCTACTCAAAGATAATCTATGCTACATTGTTTTCAACAAATCTGGCTTCATTCTTAAGGACTCCTAGACGCACCAAATTTTACTTCAGGGTCCCAATCAACATGGTCTCTACCCTATTAATCTGCCTCTCTCAGTTAAGTCTAGCGGCCAACACACTGCTCCTATTGCTCTCTTCACTACTCCATCTAAGTTCAATCACTGGCACAGGCGTCTTGGACATCCCTCTCCAACTACTCAGCACAGATTATCTGCCATCCTCAAATTTTCTCCTTCCAGCCCGTCCAAGCATCACTATGACTCATGTGTTCGAGCTAAATTTCATCGTCTTCCCTTTAGCTTATCTAAGTCTACAACTACGAAATGTTTAGAACTTCTACATTCCGATGTATGGGGACCGTCCCCAATTTTGTCATCTCAATGTTATAAATATTATCTTCTCCTAGTTGATGATTTTACACGCTTTTCCTAGGTATTCCCTTTAAAATTAAAATCTGACGTTCTCCCTGTATTTCGGAATTTCAAACTTCTTGTTGAAACTCAATTTCAAACGAATATTAAGCAATTACAAACTGATAATGGAGGTGAATTTATTAACCAACCATTCAAACAATTTCTGATTAATTCTGGGATTGCTCACCGTCTCTCATGTCCCTACACACACCAACAAAATGGCTTAGCCGAGAGAAAACATCGCCACCTCCTCGAAACAATGAGATCACTCATGTTCGAAGCCAACATCCCCACAAAACTATGGGTTGATACCTTGCTAACCGCTGCATACCTTATTAATAGACTACCCACAGCTGCCTCGCCAAAGGTCTCACCCTATCAAGCCCTTCACAAAGTTCGGCCAGATTATAATTCTCTTAGAACCTTTGGCTGCTTATGTTATCCCTGGCTCCCTCCTCCTCATCGAAACAAACTTCAACCACGCTCAGTCGCATGTGTTTTCCTTGGCTACGCCCAAGAGTCCTAAGGATATAAATGTTACGATCCCTTAACTAATCGTGTTTATGTCTCGAGACACGTTACCTTCTTTGAAAATCATTTTCCCTTCAAATGTTCACCGGCACCTACTCACGACATTGTTACCACAAATGACAATTCATCTCCGCTTACATTAGTACCAGCCTCAACCACTCATACTAGTTCTCCCGACACTGAATCCTCTCATGTGTCATCCCAACACCTCACACCAACCTTAACTCCTACCCTTTCTCAACATTCCAACAGTACAACCAATAGCACCTCCACTTCCCCATCTCTAACTTTACCCATTAAGCATCCTATGCTCACTCGTTTTCAAAGTGGCCATTTAAAACCAAAAGTGCTGATGGACTTATCACATCAGCTAAACTCGCCCCCTCCAACTTCCTTTGCTGAAGCAAATAAATCTTCAATTTGGAGGGCTGCCATGTAAACTGAATTCCAGGCACTTCAAAATCAAGGGACTTGGTCTCTTGTAGAACCATCTCCCGAACAAAATGTACTATGATGTAAATGGTTATTCAAGACAAAAGCAAACCCGGATGGCACAGTTGAGCGCTATAAAGCAAGACTTGTTGCACAAGGATACAAACAGGAATTTGGTATTGATTATACCGACACATTCAGTCCGGTAGCAAAGTTTCCTACAATTCGTTTGCTCCTTATCCTTGCTGCACATTTTCAGTGGCCTGTGTTACATTTGGATGTCTCTAATGCCTTTTTACATGGAAAACTTCAAGAACCAGTCTTCATGAAACAACCATTGGGTTCTGTTGATCCTCAACATCCCTTACGGGTCTGCAGAGTTCACAAAGCTATTTATGGCCTCAAGCAATCACCGCCCAATGGTTCTCTACCTTCTCCAGTTATCTCATACAATATGGATTTCAGTCTTCCAAAGAAGACCCTTCGTTGCTTATGCTCCGCACTAAATCCATATCACTCTACGTGTTAGTATATGTAGATGATGTTCTACTTACAGGCAATGACCGACCTGCCATGAACCAGCTCATCGACACATTGAATGTTCGTTTACGAATGAGAAATCTGACCCTGTTTCTCACTTTCTTAGCATTCACATTCAAAGCTTGCCTACCGGGTTCATCCTCAATCAGACAAGATACATAGCAGATCTTCTTACTAAAGCGGGAATGCAACAAAGCAAGCCAGTGCTCAGCCCATTACCTGCTAAAATCCCAGCTATTCTACCAACGGACGCTAGCTTCTCTCAGCCCGCTTACTACCGTAAGCTAGTCGGCTCGCTGCAGTATTTAACTATTACAAGATCGGATCTCTCTTTTGCAGTAAATTATCTATGCCAACAAATGCACAATCCCTCCGATCGACACTTTCAGCTTCTGAAACGTGTCCTGCGATATCTCAAAGGCACGCAACACCTTACTCTACCTATTCAGAAATCTGAGCTCAATCTCACTGCCTATACAAACTCGGACTGGGCTGCGGATTCTGTAGATCGCCGATCGGTAACAGGCTTCTGCACATTCTTAGGTTCTAACCTTCTCTCTTGGCATGCTAAGAAGCAACCAACCGTTGCTCACTCCTCTACCGAAGCTGAATATCACGCATTGGCAGCTGTTGCTAGTGAACTCATGTGGCTACGGTGTCTTCTAGCTGATTTTAACATCTCTTTCGATGCTGCTACACCCGTTTACTGTGACAACATCTCCACCATTGCGTTGGCAAACAACCCTGTTTTCCATGCGCGAACCAAGCATATTGAAGTAGATTATCACTTCATCCGCGACTGCATTGCTGCGAAGCAACTTATTGTACACCACATTTCTTCTCAAGACCAGCTCGCCGATATCTTTACTAAAACTCTATCTGCCACAAGGTTCACAGCATTGAGAGACAAGCTAATCAATTCTTCCTGAATTGTTACCTTGCGGGGGGGATGTTAAACCAAATCACTTTATACTTTTACAGGTTATTATTATTTCTAACCTACACTTGCTACCACCGGTAAGTTGGTATGCCATGATGTCTGGCAAGGTGGTTACAGCAGCTCCTTTAATCATTTAGCATACTATTATAAAAGATGTATCACTGTAGCATCTTTCAGTTAAGGGAAATACGACATTTGTTCCCAATGTCTTTCTTCTTCCTGCTTCCATTCTCTTCTCTGGTTTTGCTTTATAGGTCCTGAAGCTCAGTGCTCTTTCAATTATATCCCTCTAACAATGAGAAAAAGGAGAAAAAGAGAAAGGCAAAGAAAAGTGCATTACAAGGAAAACAAAAAAATTCCAAAGAACATTGTTGCACTGATAAATTAAGATTTTGTTTGGGGTAGTTTAAGCTTTTCTATTTTTCTCTCAAAACCTCCTTTCTTAACCACAATTTCAAAAATATTTTTTCAGAAACAACATTTTTAAAGGCAAAAGTTTGAAGTAATTGTGAAAAAGTTATATTCTAAAAACACATTATTTTTTACTAATAGTCACAAAATTAGTTGAAAAAGTAGTCTAAATAAAGCTTAAGAGAAGAATGGAAAGAGAAGGGCACTCCTCATGCAATCTTTAAGCACCTAACTCAACTTGGGCTTTGAAAGTGAGATCAGCATTTCATATGAAGAATTCACTAATGGTTTTAATAAATTATTTTAGGAATGTTAAAAATTGATAGAAAATATTGTTATAACAAGAATGAAACAAAGTCTTTTAAGAAACTTGTTGATTCATCAAAGAAAGAAAATGATTATCTTTGCTAGATATTCAAAAACCGCATGGTAACATATTATCAGCATTTCATATGAAGAATTCACTAATGGTTTTAATAAACTATTTTAGGAGTTTTAAAAATTGATAGAAAATATTGTTCTAACAAGAATGAAACAAAGTCTTTTAAGAAACTTGTTGATTCATAAAAGAAAGAAAATGATTATCTTTGCTAGATATTCAAAAATCGCATGGTAACATATTATCTTTGAAAAATAAAGTGGCTAACATGAAAAATATAATAAATGTCATAATTTCTTCTTATTTTAGTGCTTCAACTCTTTGTAATAATGAAAATTTTCAAAACATAATTAGAATTCTGAATGAATAAATTGCTAAGCTCAATGGTGGTGACGAACCGATTGAGGATTTATTGCAAGTTAGCAGGAGATCCTAGCATGATTAAATTTTGTAACAAATTCAACAAGATCATGTATTTCTATTGTAAGAAGGAATGACATATAAAGAGGAATTTGTTATTCTTAAGGAAAAGAAAGCAAAGCAAGCATAAGAAGGGAAATTTAATAGCTGCAAAAATAGTTGTATTTTGGTCTGAATGTCTGATTATAATGATGCGTTTTTGGTGATTGAAAAACAATAAATTTTGGACTTTACTAATCCTACTCTCATGTATTTTAATTTGATTTTTTTTTTTTTTTTGAATGACACAAGTTATGGTGGCTATGTGCGTATGGGGAATGTATTTGTATGCAAGACTATAAGTTCTGCCATTATGAAGTTGAGAACACAATGGAGGTGTGACTAGTTCGTTGGCTGGAGTAAGATATTTACCATATCTAAGGAAGATTCTAATATCCTTCAGTAGTCTTAATGTTGCAAGATATATAAATGACTGTAAATTCTATAAGATGGCTTTGATTATCTTAAAGGTAAGACTTAATGGGCTCTATGTGTTGTAGAGTGCATTGTCAAGTGGGGATGTGTTAGATTCAAAATTGTGGAAGCAAAGAAGAGCTAGCTTCTAAGAAGCAAAGAAGTTTCATGAAAAAAGAGGCAAAAATTAAGGGAAGATTTTTTGAGATGATCAAGCGGATCATGTTTATGTTGCACAGTCTACCACGATGCAAGCCATATAAGCTCAAGATTTAGAATGAGGATATAACACTTAGAAGCTGTGAAAATTCAATGACGAGTGTGCGTTCAATATTGATGGATCCATCTTATTGCACAACAATTATGTTGTAAAGGTCTGACGCAGGTTTTTTGATGAGGCAAAATACAAATCAGTGAATTTGCGCAATATTTTTCCCGTAGGGGCTTGGAGAGATTGAAGATGTTGGGGTGTCATAGACACTACTAAGTAGGTACATAGGAAATTAACCTCCAATGGATAGATTGTTACGTAATAAGTGCAGAAATTATTTTCTATATATCTATCTATAATTGTTCAGCTATCTATCTATAACAGTTCAGCTCTGTTCAACAATGCCCAAAATGTCTCGCGAAAACTTCCATTTACTAGTTAAGCATTCCAATTTTTTGACGAGAAAGAGTTCAATTACTTAAATTCCCTTTTGGAGAGACCGAAAAACTGCCAAAAAAAACTCCATATTGACTAAAAAAACAAAGGAAAAACTTGACCATTATACGAGCGGAAATCTTGAAGGAAGGTTTTAGATAACATGATACCTTTCTCATCCGGGTCTTGACTTCGGATTTCTTCGCCTTGTTATAGATGCGCCTCTTCTCGGCCTGGCGAGCCCTCTTCGACGCTGAATCGGGCTTTTTAGTTGTCGCTGCCTCGCAGACAACTGATCTCCGCATTGGCTTCGGCTTCTCCAATGCCCTAATTGGAGTTCCACCTGACACTCAAAGTACAATCAGTTCGCAAGCAAGCAATCGAAGTAGATGGAGAGAACGCAGAGAGGATAAATCATAGATTGCTTACCATTGGGAAAAGCAACGGAGGAAAGATTCGAAGAGAATGCTAGGGTTTTGATGACCGGAAAGCGGCGAGGAAGAGCTCCGGTGCAGCATCTGACGCTGGAGGCAACGTGAGAGAGGGTTTTCGGCTTGCAGGGAAGCACAAGGCAGGTAGCGACTGCTGCCATTTTCGCCTTCCCAATCTAATCCTTCTGCATTAACTTATCTCTTCTTGCTTTCCTTTCAATTTTATTTTTACTTTTTTTATTTCGTGAGATTCTCAAATTTATTTTCTACAGTTTGATATCAATTTCTTTGAACTTCTGGAACCCAAAAACTCATTTTCTACTCCAAAATATAATGAGAAAATTTAGAAATTTACATATATATCATTTTATACCATCTTATTTATATATCTAACACCCAAAATTTTAATATTACATACATACCACCCTATATATATATATATTTTTTTTTACCCCCCCCAATACCACCCTATATTATTTTAATATCAAATATATCACTCATATTTCCTTTCTACTTTTCATATATTTCATTTCTACCACTTATATTTGATATGAAAATGAATTATGGGTGGTATGTATGTAATATTAAAATTTTAGACATTAAATATGTAAACATAATAGTATAGAATGATATGTATGTAAATCACCCAATATAATAAAACTGTAATAGAATTCCATTTCGTCCGCTTCTTTATCTCGCTGCCAAAGTTAATCTTCTTTTTCCTCTTTCGTGTGATTTTTTTGGCAAATCTTAAACACAACAAAAATAGCGTGTGTGAACAGTGTGGCGCTTCCATCTTAGTGGCAACCTCCATGCTAGCTTGGACAATCTTCCGCCGTTCAACTTAGTCTTCGTAGGAAGAGAGCATTAAAGGCCTCAAAGTGTGAACAACGTGGTATTAATCGTGGGATTCTATTTACTAGCTTTTGTTTTATGTTTTCTTTTGCAATTGCTTAAAAGACTTGGCTCTCTCTTGTATTTTCTTGCCTAGCAATTTAAACATCGCGAATTTCTTATAATTTGCTTGACTTTGATGCATGAGTAAATAATTGTGGAGCTAATATTTAATTTTCTTTTAAAGTTCTTGTGTAACTCCCCATTGCATCACATCATGACTAACTTTGAAAAAAGACAGTTTCAGCTCCCATTCCCACCCACCGCCAAAAAAAAAAACAGCCAACCAACTATACCACACTCATTTAGTTTCATCTGGTCTAATAGTTCTTTTCATGATTTTCCTCCATTATTTTATAGGATAAATTTTATTCTATGAAAAAATAAATTCTTGAATTTTTAAGAGATGTTAATGATAGAGTATGGCATGTTACTTATTATAGTTTCATATCTAGTATTAGTGAAAATGAATTAAATGATTTAATTATCATAGAAATTTCATATTTCCACCAAGTTTTATCTACGGATGAATTACTTATTTCTATACATAAAATTGGTGGAGAAATATTAGATGCTCTCATTAGAACATCCAAAGGCTTAAGAATGCAATGATATCCCTCCAACAATGAGAAAAAGGAGAAGAAGAAGAGAATGGCAAAGAAAAGTACATTACAAGGAAAACAAAAAAAGTTCCAAAGAACAATGTTGCACTGATCAATTAAGATTTTGTTTAGGACAGTTTAATCTTTTCTATTTTTCTTTCAAAAGCTCCTTTCTTAGCAACAATTTTTAAAATGTTTTTTTCAGAAACTGCATTTTTAAAGGCAAAAGTTCGAAATAATTGTGAAAAAAGCTGTCTTCTAAATAGACATTATTTTTTACTAATAGTCACAAAAGTAGTTGAAAAACTATTCTACACAGCTTAAGAGAAGATGGAAAGAGAAGGGCACTCATCATGCAATCTTTAAGCACCTAACTCAACTTGGGCTTTGAAAGTGAGATGAGCATTTAATATGAAGAATTTTCTAATGGTTTTAATAAATTATTTTTGGAGTTTTAAAAATTGATAGAAAATATTTTTCTAACAAGAATAAACAAAGTCTTTTAAGAAACTTGTTGATTCATCAAAGAAAGAAAATAATTCTCTTTGCTAGATATTTAAAAATCTCATGGTAACATATTATCTTTGAAAAATAAAGTGGCTAACATGAATAATATAATAAATGTTATAATTTCTACTTATCTTAGCACTTCAACTCTTTGTAATAATGAAAATTTTCAAAACATAATTAGAATTCAGAATGAATAAATTGCTAAGCTCAATGGTGGTGATGAACCAATTGAAGATTTATTGCAAGTTAGCAGGAGATCTTATGAGCAAGGGTCCCCGTCTAATTGTGGCATGATTAAATCTTGTAACAAATTTAACAAGATCATGTATTTCTATTGTAAGAAAAACTGACATATAAAGAGGAATTTATTATTCTTCAGGAAAAGTGAGCAAAAGCAAACATAAGGAGGGAAATTTAATAGCTGCAAAAATAGTTGTATTTTGGTCTGAATGTCTGATTATAATGATGCTTTTTTGGCGATTGAAAAACAATAAATTTTGGACTTAGATATTTATCATATATAAGGAAGATTCTAATATCCTTCAGTGGTCTTAATGTTGCAAGATATATAAATGAGTGTAAATTCTATAAGATGGCTTTGATTGTCTAAAAGGTAAGACTTAATGGGCTCTATGTGCTGTAGAGTGCATTCTCAAGTGGGGATGTGTTAGATTCAACATTGTGGAAACAAAGAAGAGCTAGCTTCTAAGCAGCAAAAAAGTTTCATGGAAAAAGAGGCAAAAGTTAGGGGAAGATTTTTAAGATGATCAAGCGGATCAAGTTTATGTTGCACAGTCTACTACGATGCAAGCCATATCAGCTCAAGATTTAGAATGAGGAGATAACACTTAGAAGCTGTGAAAATTCAATGACGAGTGCGCGTTCAATATTGATGGATCCATCTTATTGCACAACAATTGTGTAGTAAAGGTCTCACGCAGGTTTTTGGATGAGGCAAAATACAAATCAGTGAATTTGCGCAATATTTTTTCCTTTGGGGCTTGGAGAGATTGAAGATGTTGGGGTGTCATAGACAGTTATTTGGTCTCTGACCACTACGTAGTGGATAGATTGTTACGTAATAAGTGGAGAATATATATTATATCTATCAATAATAGTTCAGCCCTGTTCAATACCCAAAATGTCTCGCGAAAAGTTCCTTTTACCAGTTAAGAATTCCAAGTTTTTGACGAGAAAGAGTTCAATTACTTAAATTCCCTTTTGGAGAGACCGAAAAACTGCCACAAAAACTCCATATTGACTAAAAACAAAGGAAAAACTTGACCATTATACGAGCGGAAATCTTGAAAGAAGGTTTTAGATAACATGATACCTTTCTCATCCGGGTCTTGACTTCGGATTTCTTCGCCTTGTTATAGATGCGCCTCTTCTCGGCCTGGCGAGCCCTCTTCGACGCTGAATCGGGCTTTTTAGTTGTCGCTGCCTCGCAGACAACTGATCTCCGCATTGGCTTCGGCTTCTCCAATGCCCTAATTGGAGTTCCACCTGACACTCAAAGTACAATCAGTTCGCAAGCAAGCAATCGAAGTAGATGGAGAGAACGCAGAGAGGATAAATCATAGATTGCTTACCATTGGGAAAAGCAACGGAGGAAAGATTCGAAGAGAATGCTAGGGTTTTGATGACCGGAAAGCGGCGAGGAAGAGCTCCGGTGCAGCATCTGACGCTGGAGGCAACGTGAGAGAGGGTTTTCGGCTTGCAGGGAAGCACAAGGCAGGTAGCGACTGCTGCCATTTTCGCCTTCCCAATCTAATCCTTATGCATTAACTTATCTCTTCTTGCTTTCCTTTCAATTTTATTTTTACTTTTTTTATTTCGTGAGATTCTCAAATTTATTTTCTACAGTTTGATATCAATTTCTTTGAACTTCTGGAACCCAAAAACTCATTTTCTACTCCAAAATATAATGAGAAAATTTAGAAATTTACATATATATCATTTTATACCATCTTATTTATATATCTAACACCCAAAATTTTAATATTACATACATACCACCCTATATATATATATATTTTTTTTTACCCCCCCCAATACCACCCTATATTATTTTAATATCAAATATATCACTCATATTTCCTTTCTACTTTTCATATATTTCATTTCTACCACTTATATTTGATATGAAAATGAATTATGGGTGGTATGTATGTAATATTAAAATTTTAGACATTAAATATGTAAACATAATAGTATAGAATGATATGTATGTAAATCACCCAATATAATAAAACTGTAATAGAATTCCATTTCGTCCGCTTCTTTATCTCGCTGCCAAAGTTAATCTTCTTTTTCCTCTTTCGTGTGATTTTTTGGCAAATCTCAAACACAACAAAAATAGCGTGTGTGAACAGTGCATCCCGAAGAATATCAAGCAAAAATCCATTCAGTTGGATTGTTTGACGAACGGCAATCACATATATGTCGTACGATTACGGATGAGCTTACTCCATATTATATAAATTTTACAAAGATATTTTATAGAATAAATGAGATATTTATAAGTTAATATTAATATGATTGAAATTTTACAACTTTAATTGTGATGGCTCACGGCGACTAAATACTAGTTCTAAAGTAAAATTGCAAATGAGTCAAGCCGAGCTCCAGTCATTGACTGAGCAAAACTAGTTAATTGAGTTACTTTTACAAGTCAAAATTAGCTTAAGAGATGGCTCATTCATAATAAAAGAGAAAAAATCATTTTTTTTCAAGCAAAAATTATAATAAAATGATAAAAAATAAAAAATTATTTGAGAAATAATACGAAATCACTTAAAATAACAAAAGAGAAAGAATTTTTAAATGTTTTTAGCAATTTTATACTAAATTTATTGAATTTTATATATTTAAGTATAATTAATATTGTTGCGTGCTAGAATATACACGGCGATAGAGTTTGTAAATTTACGTCCTAGCGTTGTATGAGTATTCAGCACACAAGCAGAAAAGAGAAGTGAACACCATAGTTTTTACGTGAAAAACCCAAAAGAGGGAAAAACCACGGGGGCTTGCCCAGTTGTAAAGTTCCACTAGAATTTGTTTGAAGTACAAAGGTTGATCCGTCTTACAAATCAAGACGATCAATTTACAATTAACTTCTCACAAAGTTACAAAGTTCTGCAAATTCCTGGTGTTTCCCGAAAATTCGGCAGAGTTCTGGCATCTTCAGGCAGCAGGAAGAG